GGCAGAACGCGATTGCCCCTGGACCTGTGTGGAGGCGGTGTGAGAGCGGGAATAAAGAATTGCTGTTTGAACCTACAAGGTGTGTGGTGGCTCGTGATTCTGGTGCCAAGCCGAGACCTTGGCATATCTATCTATCTATCTATCTATCTATCTATCTATCTATCTATCTATCTATCTATCATTACTGGGAATTGAACCCAGGACCTCTCAAGTGCTCTACCACAGAGCTACATTCCCAAGCCCTTTTTAAAAGTTTTTGAGACAGGTTCTCCCTAAATTGCCCAGGCTAGCCTCGAACTTGTCAACTTTCTGCTTTAGCCTCAGGAGTATTTGGGGCATGTAGTTACAGGCATGTGCCACTGCATCTGGCTTGGCTCTACTACTTCATAACAGTATAACCATAATAATTATATGACAATTTAACTTTTCTGAAACTCTTTCTCCATATGTATAATAAGAAGGTACTAATCTTACAGGGTTATTATGAGGATTAAAAATGAAATATTATATATACTTCCTACAGTGTCTAGCATATTATAAACACTAATACAGATGCTATTGCTATTTAATTATTATACTGTTTTTTTCCCCCCTGCCAGGGAAGGAATAAAGTCATAATAACCTTTATTCCTGGACACCAACTTGGACTACCCTTAAATCAAAAACTTCTGAATGATAAACCTTTTGTCTTTTTATTTATTTGTTTGTTCGTTTATATTTTTTTGCAGTGCTGGAGATCAAGCCCAAGGAGGGCATTATGCATGCTAGGCAAGAGCTCTACCACGGAACTATATCTCTAGCCCCTGAATGATATCCGATATACTTTAAAATAGACTTTAAATACTTCATTAGCAAATAGAGGAAAGCAAATTTAATACAAGATGCCATTTATGATCCATTTAGCAACATCAAAAGTTGGTAAGAGAGGCTGAGTTGTGGCTCAGTGGTAGAACACTTACCTCACACGTGTGAGGCACTGGGTTTGATCCTCAGCACCACATAAAAATAAATAAAATAAAGGTTTTGTGTTCATCTACAACTAAAAAAATACATACTTAAAAAAAAGTTGGTAAGAATGTTTGAAAACAGGAACGTCCCTATACTAATGGTAGAAAATAGTGAAGTTGAAGATGCACATAAGCAACAACTCAACAATTCCACTTCTAATTATATATCAACACCAATTTAGTGGTTTGCGTGACCTACATTTTAAAAAGATGGAATAGAGTGTATCCTGGATGACAAAGGTAAGTAAATACTATTCTTAAAGTTTCGGTCCCAGAATTACATTTTGTTTACCAAGCTGAGGTCTATATACTTCTTATATAGTCTATATACTTCTTTTGACTGTGGGTACAGTCAAAAAGTTTAAAATACACTGCTTTAACGAAATCCTCCCATTTGCCTAAGGTGATGTATACAATGATTTTTTTTAGAGAACTATAATAGTAAGTGTTCATTAGAAGGTAGAACAAACAAATAAGGGAATATTATTAGCAAAATAAATCGAGTTTTGCTAAATTTTCTAAACTTGAGATATTTCTCAAAAATAACAAAAGGAAATACACTGAATTATTCAGCAAAACAATTTTAAATAAATACATTTAAGCAAATATACATATTTGGTTAAAGTGTGAAAAGTGGTTGCAAGCTTCATGACAGCAGGGTCTGTGTGGTTTATTGTGTGCCCCCAGCACTTACAATGGAGCCTAACAAACAGCAGAAGCTCATTTTTTTGAATTACTAGCTTTTCTCTAGGGAAAAAAAAAAAGAGAATAGCTTCAGGAAAAGGTCCCAAAGGGGGGTTCAACTGTGTATGTAACTGGTGTTTCCAGGGCTTTTTAATGACATCCTTTAGTAACACAATCTCTGCTTCACATTTTAGTCTTTGCTTCATCTAAGGTAAATTGAATTCCTCCAAAAGTAAGAAGTCAAAAGTAATCAAGGAGCAATCAAGGAACAAGAGGAAAAAAAAAAAAAGTAATAGTAGTAAAAAGCACTCAAGATTCCCTTAAACTTATTCGCCTCTAGGTGAGGTAAGATTGGGAGCTTGGATTTCTCCCTCATTCTTACTATATCCTGCATCCTCACCACTGAACTACTAAAGATAATGATACTAGCTTAGTAATAACATCTAACATGGGGGAAATACTACTATTTAAACACTAAAGTTTTATATATGTACTAACTTTAATCTTCATACAATCCAAAAGAAACTAAGCTACAGTTCTGTTAAGTCATCTACTGAAGGTCACAGCAAGTTGTTTCTGAGGGATATGGACATCAGGCCCCAGGTA